AAAAGCTAAGCTGTCAATTTGAATATCCGTCGCAAAACGTCAAGCATATGGTGTTGGCGTGTCCGCAGTGGGCAAATGAAAGAGGCGACTTTCTCCGACAAGCTAAAGACAGGTCATTTGAAGCAATGATGAACAGCCCAGAATACATGGCCACAATTACACAGTGGATACTAAACAAAGGGTGGATAAAACAGTTTCGACTTGCAGGGGAAGTCGAGGTAGCAATGTCGGATAAAGTAAATAGATCTGGAAGGGGAGAGGATGGAATGCACACGGGCAGAACAGTGTACACTGCACTTCCTTAAGGTAAACCAAATAAGTTGATAGGAACAAAAAAAGACAGGATCAGGGAGTTTCCACTAAATTGGTTTCCTACTTTGTAAATAATGCAGATAGTCACCTGCATGGACCCATAGGGTGCCTGATCGGGTTAATTGAAATCAAATTCAAATATTAATATTTTTAGTTTCAGCCCATATTGATTTTTAACATGCAAGGGTATGGTTTAACGATAGCATCCGTTTTTTTTGGTCATTGTCCATAGCTCTACTAAACTTTAATTTTGATACCCGTCGTAGCACTTCAAGTTTATTACAAATACGAAGGCGCATTTTAAGCAGCTATAGCGTAAACTTTCAAGGGGATTACGCGGCAGCACATGATCGCGAAGGTAAGAATTTCTTAGAGAATGCCCTGATTTTGTGGCCGGCAAAGATGAAATCTTCACCTTCCAGTGTTGCTGGTGTAATCGCTCAGTATGCTTTGCATATCTGGGATAGCCAAGAATCGCATCCGAATCGAAGTCAAAAGCAAACACATGCATGTCTCCATTTAACTACTTCTCGTCAATGTCGGATCTATCATTCTCACGCGAGTCCTCTACCTCCTTCTTACTACACCACCTCGCCTCAAATACCGATAAATGGCGTTACTCCAATTGCAATTGGGCATTTGCCTCATCAAAAACCGACCATCTCCCACTACACATTTACGACACTATTTCTACCGGCAAGGGGGAAACCAAGTAATAATCTATATTGCTCGGGTCTTGGTCCATGGGAGACCGTCTCTCTAATGAGGCTTCACATCTTGAGGAAGGACAGGCAGCTGGGACGTGGGACGAACGAGTGAAGAGGTCACAAATGGGCATGCTGGGACGCACATCTCTCGAGTGTTTTCGACTGGAGAGTGTCTGTGGGCGCCGAGGCAACAATTTAGGATACTGCTACCGACACTCGAAAAACAGGCAACGATGGAAAGTGTTTTGGTTCGCCTCCTAGTCGTCATCTACCCGAATTCAAGTCTGGGTAGTCTGGACACCTACATCACTCGAGAAAGGGAGGACTGTGAGGCCATATCTCGCGCGGCGGCTTTACACAATATTGCAAAGGCAGGTTAGGGTAGCCAAATGTTTTCCCTGTTTCCCCTTAGGTGGATATTAACGGTTGAGAGAAGGGTGAAAGTCCCAAGCACCAGGGTTTCGAGTGGTATCAGCGAATACACCCACTATATGAGTAGTCCAAATGTCAAACTGAGTTATTGTCGTACATAGTTGTCGGGAAGGACTCGCCTTCTCCGTGTCATGCTATTTGAGTGCAGGGCTTGTGCCCGTCACGATTAAACTTTCATTCATTCATTCGTCCTGGTTTTGTGAAATAAAGTTATTAAACTTGCCTAGTCTAAGACTGAAGGGGCCAGGTTTATCCATGTCTCAGGTGTTACTGTCGCCGGATCAGGTTAATTAACAATAAGTACATACACATCGTCCCACCTGAATGACCGCACTGTCTCAGACTTCACCCATGTGTTGAATCATGACAAGCCCAACCGTCCAGAGAACCCTCTTTTGACGCGCCGAAGCGCAAATTCCTCCTCAGCCTCGGCCACCACGCGCCTGAGTCCTTGACACCTTCGCCATCTGTAACTTTTCCCTTCAATTCATGCCCAGCTTTAGCTCATCTCTGCATCTCCTCATCTAATCCAAGGGTCGTTTTCTTCACTGGAGGCCTCATCCAGTCGTCCACCAAAGCCTCCTCAGCTTGTACTTCCTTTTATTCCTTAGTGTTGCTGGGGACTGAGGTTGTTGCACTTCTAGCAGTATACATAGGGAATTATAATTGTCAACTCTGATCATAACAATCTATGTTGCTAAGCAACCGCATCCAGGCCGCAGTGAGGTTATAAGTTCCTAGGATGGTACGTTGGTAAAATGTGGATATACGAAAATCGTAGATCAAAAGCGCCTCTGAATTTCTGCTACATCTTCTTTGTAGTGAAATCTCTAGACGGTGTATGACTGCCCTCCAAAATAACAGGATGTGTCTAGTATATACAGGTTTCTTGCTTAGTGCGCATTATGCATAAAGACTGGGGTATACGTGACAAATTATAATACAATGTTTATGATTAGGGATTCTCAGAAGCATTGGTAGTCCCTGTAGCTAGGTAGGCCCTACACTCCATCCCCACCGTACTGTCTAAGTCAGTGAAAACACAAGGGATAAAGCCCATGGCAGGTAACTTCCTCTCTGTACCTCAACAGCGCCTTTCCTAAAGCACTGGCCCTCAGGTCCTCTTTCGATAATTTCTTTGAGATAAGTTTTGCTCTTCTTCAGCTTTCTTCTTGGACCACAATAATCAAGGTCATCTGCAGTCTTATAGAACTCAGATAAACTTGAAAATACACCACTGATCGAAAGGTTCTCCTATTACAGGCATTATCACTAGATTCAATGATATGGTTACCATACGAAAGCGCTTCGTGGAACAGATCTACCGACCACTGCAGACATACGTGCATATCTGAGGATTGCAATATTCCCTCCTTGGCTCCTATTAGCTATATGCAATGTTTACGCCTCGTCTCGGATCCTATGACATCTAGAGACACCAGAAATTTTTACAAAGAGTGTAAGCTAAAAATTATTCTAATCCAAAATCTATTCATCGTCTTTTCATCAATAATGTACAGGAAACATATGCTCACCTGGCTAGTATTTGACTTAATCCTTCTCAGCAGGCCCCATGGCGAAGGCTAAAGGTTCGAAGAAAAAATTATTGACAATAATTGAGGCTCCATTCTCCCTGTATGGTTTTGCGAAGAACGAGAACGCTTGTTTTTTTACATAAATAAGAAAATGCTTCGACCTCCATCCCCAATAAATCATTTTCTAGACTATTCAAGCTCTAGTTTACACTAAAAAGATCTAAACAACATGTGATGTGCATTTTTTATGACCCGTTCCATCTAGAAACATTCTACAAGAAGCGGTAACCGAATGTTCGCAACATGCTCGAGTGTAGAGTAAGATTTTTTGTGTGGAACATCATGTAGCCGACTTGTCATTGGTAATACAGTGCGCTGAAACTAGCAAGCACAGCGAACGGGACCCAAGGTCATGTCGTTATGGCTATTAGTTTATGACTGAGTCAAATACTAAAGTGGGACATGTCGGTCTTTTGTGATTTGAATGTAAGAGACTTAATGTCTAGAGCCATATTCTCTGCAGTGATTATTTCACGAAATCTGGTTACAAAGCAAAAGATAATGAATAGATTCGTATTAAATTGCAGTATCTGTTCAGGCTGAATACCAAGAAGAAAATATAACCAGCTACTAAAATATGGATATGGCAACAAGCTCTTCTCTTGATGCTCACCACCAAACTTATCTAGACAGAGTGGGTTCATGAATCAAAAATTAAAGGCCTGAGATAGGTATTACTCGTCCTCCAATATTTCAAAGGACTCCCTTGAAGACATCTGAAATTGATTAATGATTTTTATACCAAATAGCTTCCATCCACAACATCATCTTAATTCAACATTTCCCGCTAATAGTTGGGTTGTAGGTATGCAGGTTATTAAAATACGATTAATATGTAAATTAAGGTGGAAATGAACAATTTGTAGTAGCATTCATTGGGCTTATTCAACATGATTTAACCGTAAAATCTTGATCTTAAAATTTAAAAATCAAACATCAGATACAGACTGGAGAATAATGTTTCAATCAGTGAAAATCTCTCTTAATATACTGTGGTCAATACATACATCAGACTAGAGAATTTTTTCGGATGTAGCTATGCCATAGGTATTTTCAATAATCAATAGCAGAGTTTGGCACAGATGTGGCTGGTAATATTAATCTATGAAGTGTCCTTAATTATAATCTGGGAAAGAACTATCACTCTATGCCAGTTTTTATCTCTGGATTTTAGTATCGTTGAGTCTCTATAAGACAGAAAATCCATCATTAATCACAAATGGGGGCATCTTGAAGAATTTCTGGTATCTCTAATCCCTTTATAGATTGCTTCTTTGTCTATTTGGAGGCGAGACATGTTTTAGACGTTGCTCGGCAAAAACGGTATGCAAAATAGCTGGGATGCCTTTTCGCTGCTGGTGCTTCAATCATGAGAAGAGTTTACATAATTAATTTCTATCTCCGTCGGGATCATTAGAATGATTTCAGATCTCTAATAAAGGTATTGAGTCCAGATTACTGAAAATTCCAAACCCTTTCAGTTTTTTTCCTGCTTGTCATGAATTCCCAACCTAGTGGAGGGACGTTAATTGTAGTGGGGTTCAGCGTGAAAGTGAATGGACCGGGTCAAGGCTATTTGCGCAATATTCATGATCCAAGGGTTTTTAATATTTTCTTCGCTTCAATCCCTCCCATTCCCGCCTTGATGTTCATTCCGTGCCGATCTGAAGGTACAATCGCTCACTTTTATGTGGCTGGTCGAGCTGTAAGAATTTTGAATTGATAAGGGTCATTCTTATCGATCGGGAAATCAGCTTTCAAACTGCGAATTACTGTCTCTTGAGCTATAAAATAATTCTAGTCTTTCGCTTCTTTGCAAGATGGCTTGGCAGATGCATGACACATGAGTCGTGATTTCTTTCTATGGCATTGGCTCCGTCGAATTCTTTCCAAGGGATAGGTGGGTAGTTTGGTTGCAATTTATTTGGTTTGATACGTTACATAGATAAGAGATTCAGCTGGATGGTAGTGATTTTATTGAAAGAGTTGATTTCGGGGGTATGGTTAGACGTTCGCGCATGCGCTGAATGAGGTTTTTAACGAGAAATGGCTTAACCATAACGGAATCCTGAAAGTTTCATTAGCCACATCGAAGGTAAAAAATTATACTCTTTGTGGGAATAATTTAGAGAGGGACTTACGATTCCACTATCTAGAGCTGTTGCGATCTGCTCCGGTCGGGCATTAGCAGTTGTAGCCAATATCTCTATGTGTCTATTTATCTTTCCTTCCATTTGCAAACGACGAATTTCGCGACTGCAGGTGAGGCCGTCCATAATTGGCATTTCCCAATCCATGAGAATTATATCTAGGTGCTTGCCGTCATGAGTGTCATGCCAAACATCCATTTGGCGAATTATCTCAAGAGCCTCGCCACCATGATTAGCAAGGTAAACCTTATGGCCGGCCTTAGATAGCTGTCTGTTGACGACATGCTGGTTAACGATATTATCCTCGACTAGTAAAACATGAATCTTTGTAAGATCAACTGCACTTTTTTCGAGGTTTTCTTGCTTCGCCTGTGGTATTATACACGGCGCCATGGGAGAGCATGGAGGCGTTGGTTGAGAAAATTCGAGTTTTTTTCCAGCATCTGTGTGTTCAACAAGGTTTTTGTCAGACTTTCTTGATTTTACGTAAAATCCAAACGTACTACCAGTTCCAGGCGAGGAGAGTACCCCAATTTCACCACCCTGTTTTTCGGCGAGTTTTTGAGAAACAAATAAGCCAAGACCAGAACCACCATATCGTATCGAGGTACGCTCATTTGCTTGTTCAAACCGGGTGAAGAGCTTTTGGATTTCACTGATTGACATACCGACACCGCTATCGCGTACCATTAATGTGAGGTAAAGAGATTTGCCGTAGCCCCATTCAGAATCTGTAGTGAGATCAGCAGCTTCAGATTGCTGCTGTGGTGCCCAATACATATTCGGAAAATGACTGCGTGGATCTGCTAAACAAGCACCAAATCTTACTTCGATTTCACGTTTGCTCTCCATCTTTGTAAATTTAATAGCGTTCGTCAGAAGATTTATGAGGATCTGCTGAATGCGTAATTTGTCACACATTACCCAGTCTATTTCATGTTCTAAAAGTGAGGCATCTGCAACAGTTTCAATCGTTATTTTGTGAGAGATCAGCTCCTGCTGAAACATGGTCACTGTTTGCCTTGTCAAATTTGGAAGTTGGGCTGGACGAGGAGAAATTGAAAGCATTGTATATTTAAGCTTGGAGAGAGTTAAGACATCATCAACAATCCTCTTTTGATGTTTTGCACACATGATAATTGTGTTGGCATTTTCAATGTTGCTCCTTAATGCTTCGACGTAATCAGTTGTTGATACATGTTGACCTTCAGGAAAGGAGTTGATTACGGTATCGGCGAGCTGGAATATAGCAGACAAGGGATTTCGAAGTTCGTGGGAAAGAAGATCGATGAACTCTTCTTGCTTTCTCTTCGCCTCGCTAGCTTCCGCAGCTTTTCGTGCTTCCGAAGCTTGTGCCCACTTAAAAGTTGATATATCAGTTGTAAAAACTATTATCGAGCTGAGCTGATCATTTTCCGTTACTCGAAAAGACTGCATCAACACACACGATGGCTCTGGGTTGCCTGATGGGGGGATATACTCATGTTTTAGATGAAGCTCAGACGAAATATTATGCTCTCCTTGTAAAAGACGAGTCCAGTCATTGTGAGCTATAACACGATCATCAGGTACATATGTATCGAGGAATGAAAGTGGATAGTGTGCTTCTTCTTCACGAGGATGGCCAGTTAATCGATAGTATTCATCATTAGCCCAGATCGTCGTTCCATCAGTTGATAGGTACTGCATACCAATAGATGCGTGCTCAGCCATGAATCGAATTCGATTAGTGCTTTCTGCTAGCTCTTTCTGGAGTTTTTCTTCACGCTTCCTATTCTCCTCTGATGTCATTACCGAAGCACCGATTGCTGACAGCTTGGATGAGATGTCTCGCATGAATTGTTCGTATCGTTCATCGATGGGTCGCCGGGGATTAGCTCCTACAATAGTGAACCCAAAAAATCCAGATGGTGCAAGTATAGGGATTATAGTTATCACCTTACTAGGTTCACCAAATCCGTGCCATTTGACGCCGTCAAATCGATTGTCTACATCCATAGTTAGAATCTTATTTTTTGCTTCTCGAAGAAGTGGTGCAACTCCATTATTGCTGTTGAGATCTAGAGCCTGAATTGCCATAGGATGATCAAGAGGCATTCCTAATATGCCTCTAAGTTTTAGGCAGACCTTTCCAAACGAGTGCTCTTTGTCCACTGTGTACAGCATGGCCATTGGAATATCTCTTGGATTCTCCTTAAAAACAGGAATGACGCTAAGTTCGTTCTCTCCCCCAGACGGAGTCACTTCCATGTGATTGAGCATAGTCCTTCTTCTCTCACTGATAGTTATGTTAGTGATCTCGCGAGCCTGGACATAGAAGCCTTCCACTTTTCCAGAATTGCCTCGCATAGGAATAATGTTTACGCTGAAGTACGTTTCCTCTTCGAATCCTCTCCTCTGAACATACATCTCCATCTCCTTAATTCTCGTTGCCATACCTGTAGCTTCAGCTTCGGCAAACCCAGCCTCGACTTTTTCCCACAGCCCCGGAAACCCGATAAGAGTCACCATGCCTTCTAGTGAAGTTTGCTTCTTACAGGCGAGACCAAGAAAATGCTCGTTGTATATCTTAACTTTATCAGGGCCCCTGTAGGTATCAGATATCATATTTTAGCAGGAGTTTAAATTATACAAACCAATACAACACAGATGCCTTAGAGTCTGCAAACAATGTAAAAATATGAATCCGTAATGAAATACTCCAATTTGAGAGAGGTCCTAGTGGTGTAGCTGACCAATTTGTGTCGATGAAAAATCGCACGTGTTTTGTAGGCGGAAGGTTTTCAGCCCACTGATCGCAAGTCAAAGTTGGGGCTGGGTAAAGGCATGGACGAGGACTTATGGTGAAGCGTGAGAGGGCTTTCTCTGTAGGTGTAACTGAATCTCCGGGCTTATTAATATCCATATCTCTTTTGGAATTTACCTCGGGATTTTGTTCTCCCATTTGTTTGCCTAGTAGAGGTCCGGCAAGGGACCAGAGCCAGATAGAAAATGTCAAAACCGCCGAGAATATTTCTGAATACAAAAGTGATTTGGTTCTATCGGAAGTAGACATGGAAAGTAGTTCACTCCTTTATAACATTGTAGTTGAGTTACACTCTGCATAGGTCAGTATATTTATTTACAAGTGCAAGGCTCACGCACCAGTTAAAACGCGTCCTGTCGATCGAAGCGCTGTAAGGATTAGTGCCGAATAAGCAAACTGCCGTCTGAGACCCTGGCGTCCATCAAGTACATGCTTTTTTCCTAAAAATAAAAAAGCGAACAAAGGTCCTGATTTAGTTGACCTTTCCGTCTAGATGCGTTCTCCGACAACATCTCCGGACATCTACGAATCTGTGCCTGATCCAGATGCAAAAAGACATTCGGTAACTGTCCGGACAGGGGCAAAAACTGGTCCGCTTCAGCATCAAGGTTACAGCTAGGGATTGGTATATACCACTTTAAAAATATTGATAAGAGTTGCTAGATGAATCTGTAGCAGGCCTAAACGAGCATGCGAGTAGCAGTAGTAATTGTGGTGCGAACCACTTCAACTGGCGGCTATTCTTTTTTCAACTTCTCATGCGCGAGGAGGGGAAAAGCTGAAGTGGAACCTAATGTGTAGAGAAAACAAAATTACAAGTGCATAAACAAATCAAAACAGGTTGGACGATTCGCTGGTGACAAGAATTCGCGTCGTCAGAATTATCGGGAATAACTCGCTAACTCTACCGACCCAAATGGGCCGGATCCAGAGGCATCTAACAACGCTGTGTGACTTTTCTTACTTCACTCATGCATTATCTTCATGATCCGCACGCAAGTATGAAGAGGGTTTTTCCTCCCGAATGAGAGACTGGAGAGACTCTGAAACACCGCAGCTCGCCCGCCTAGCTCACACAATAGGCATATCTCGGGTGTCTGTTGACCGTCCCGAAGAAAGGCTGCCACCGGAAAGGCTCTTACAGCCCCACTCAGGTCTGGCTTCACTCCGACCTTCAGGCTATCGCACTTGCACTAATGGCGTGTGAAAAGGAATGATTCCTGTAGCAGTAAATAGAACATCGGGAACTAGACAATACTTCGGATATTAACAACTATGAAGAAAGCCGAAAATTATGGCCTATACATCGGCAAAAAATTGAGCGAGCGCATGTGAAAATCGATTCGATGACGCGTCAAGATGCTGTTACAGATACGCGCCACAAATATGTTTCAAAGTGGAAACATGGTACCGTATAAAATTGGGAGAGAGTAGGTGGAAAAATATACCGAATGAAGATCTTCATGTTTAGATGAGCAACTCAGATGGAGATTGGGAAACTTGAAACAAATGTGGGTTCAACCCCCCTCATGACATGCTGTTTAATGTTCACAAATTTACAAGCTTCATCGGCAATCAACAAAGATATATTTTATCACGAGCGGAAATGAGAACGAATTTTCCTCAGCTTGTTTCTCAGATCCGAAATATATTCTTCAAGACTGAAAAGGATTTTGTCTACTAGAATATAAACGAATATGAGACTGTCAGAATTGTGATAGGACAAGATAGTTGAGTAATCAGAGACCTAAACATCAATGGGCTCCAAGGCTAAACCTTCCCACGTCAGGGGTCGGGACCGTTCATTATCGTCCATGGCTTCTGACGGTTCAACCCCGCGGTGAACGATTGGCTGAATAAGATGTTCACTGCGCCGCAATGAAAATCTTTCGCGATGGTATTTGTGGCTGCAGTCTTCTCGGACAGCATGGAGCTCACCGTGCATGGAATAAGTCTCTGTGACGAGTGAGGGTTACCGTTAAATCCACCAAAGACTCAGCTTGGCATTATCCGCATGTACTGATATTTACCATCTATTATCTGAAACGCGCGCCTTCAACGAGCACAACATCTGTCAAGCCCCTGGAATGATAGCCTCATTTCCGCCGTCTTTAATTATCTGCGATATACGTCATTAGAGATTAAAAATGTCCTCTGGGTCCACGGATCTTAGGAATTAGGAAATGTAACTCACTTGTTTCCATTTAATATGACTAACGTCTACTGAGTTGTAGACACAGCGGTGAGAGGTTTCCAATGAAGATGCAAGCGTAAGTAGTCAAATAGAAGCTGACTAAGTATGATTTCCGTATCGTAACCGTTGATTCGAGGATTTACATGCACCTAGGATATAAAGAGGTGTATTATCACAAGGGTTGTGTGCGAGTATTCCCGTGAGATGGGGCGGTGGATGCGATTGTGCGCGGATCATAGAAGGGAGCGAGTGTCCGGGACCCCCTAGCGGGCAGGTCCGTTGGGTGTGTTATCATGGATCCAAGACTACCCCAGACAGCTAGATTGTTGCATTATTTCAGTATAATAATGGGAGTTCGACGCTATTTCTTGATAGTACGGCTCGTTATCTTATCTAGCCCGGCATGGGTTTGAGCAGGTGACCATCAAGTTTGAATTATAGATGGGACTAGCCTGTCCATTCATTGTACAAGGAAGCAACTACTGTCACATTTGCCCGGCCCCCCTACGGAAACTGAATTTCCCACATTGAGTAGGTAAAATGCTTGAAAAACAAGCAGGTGTCACTGCAAATGTCTCGGCCACTGTGATAGACCTCTCTCATTGGGACGTGATCCATGTCGTATAGTACAGTCCTAATCACTGACATATCTGAAGGAGGTTGAACAAGCTTTGCGATTTTCTCTGACCCGATTAAATCAGTGATTTAGTGATAGTTGAAGAATATAATTTGACTTCTGCGAATAGCACCTAATTAATTTCCATAGCGAGTCCTCAAGCTAAGTGACTACTAAGAGATGGTCAAAATGCAGTTAGCTGTCACCTGAGCCTCACTGCACACAATCCTTAACTTCTAATGTCGTACAAAAAATCGTACGCAGCTCGTTCACGACAATTCGACCCGTAACTGCAGCAGCGTAATACAGCCGTGGCCTTTGACGGAAAATGATGTAGGGCTTATCAGTCTACAGGCTGTAGTGGCGCCTGTCTCAAATTGGTAGAGCCTATTCAACCTTGCGAACATTCTACATGAATACAGACAATGAGTGGCCGTTGGCTCTCAATTAAAATCACTTCATGAGCCAATTAAGTAATGCGACTTCCCAAGCAGCACAAACAGGCATGTAGCGGGTTTGCGCTCGCTTATCGAGAAGAAACTGTGGTTGAAAAATGATGCCTGGCAATCCACCCTCCCACCATTCGTGGTGCGGCTCTTCAGAAGTCCGTCCTACTCCGCGGCCAGGGCAGCGGTTAGATCTGAGATGCACTCATACACAATTTTGTACTGGCAGCTGCATCAGTCGAAAAACGGAAATATTCATTGCGTGATAATTGGCTAATATTTTTTGGGCCGCACACGCTAAGACAGGGAAATCTATTTCCCCACATTCATCGGAGAGGGTTGGCCGAGCTATGCGATTCTCTGTCAATAAGCCTAGACGAGTAGTTCCGCAAAGGTGATAACACGTCATATTGATGCTGAAATGTTGATCCATGCGAATAGTTATGGAAGAGTGATAGACACCGCCAAACAGGTACTAGCTTGGGTTGAAAAATTGAAGTGAAGCCAACCCGCACTTATCTCACTCACAACACGCTGAAAAATAAGATTCTTGCACTCCACTAGTAACACAGAGACTTACTGACCTAAACATATGCCATAACCAATGCTACTACGGCCTCGCGCGATGTAGCCATCTCAATATGTGTATCCGCAAATACCATCATAAATCTACCGGAACTTATCCATATTTTTTAAATGTTCCAGTAAAGCTATATTCATTTCTTAATTTGTAAGCCAAAACATGAATTAACTCGGATATAGCTGCCATATTCCTACCACAGAAAGTAAAGAAACTCAATATCTGCCATTAATATCCTTTCAATCCCTCTGTCTTGCACCCAGATGAAAGCAAAGACAAGATTCAGTCACATCTCTTTAATTTGAAATTGAGTTATCTCCTCCGTCATCAAACCTAGGTTTAAGAATATACCTGCGGTGAGAACGGCAAAGAAAGTAACGTTGTTAATAAGGACAAATTGCGGACCAAAATTTCAGAATGGTAATGAAGGAAGCCTTTATACCTAATTATACGATAACAACCGACAGATGAAAAAAAACTTTACCGAAAAAAAAGGCAATAGATGTTTTACTACTCAAAACCATCAGCACACGAGTTTTCAAAATGTTGCTTCTCTAATTTGTGACACAAATTAGAATAGCTAGGAGGATTAACTAACAACACGAGTTACTCGAGATCCCCATATACTTCAAACTATAGAATGCTGATCTAGTTTCCTTAAAGTTATGTCATTAACTAGGAATATTGCAGTATCGTACTACAACCATCAATTTTTCCTGTAACAAAGAAAAGGGGAAACTGAGAAACAGAAAGAGTTGCTTTCACTAGATGCGTATAGCACAGCTAAACCTAAGATCCAGCCTCTCTAAACGCCTCTAAATAGTGATTCGTCTTTTGACTAGTACTGATGTTAGTAGGACAACTCTATTCTGTGGGCTTTTTTTAGTCTGTTTGAAAATTATACATTTACAAGTACCGTTAGTCATGTTTGGTCTTGGAGGTGCGAGAACTACGACATGGTTGGTCCTCTAAATAAGTATTCGAATAAAGACATATTAAGAGACAACCGATTTACAAAAGCCATGGCTTAGTAATAGGAATACACTGTACGAGTCAAAGATTCTTCTATCCTGTAAGTAGATGGTAGCTACATATCCCAACCTTGTAATGGACAGTAGGATACCAAACAGGGGAAATTTATTATCCTGCAACATACAATGCCTCAAAATATTCATCCCTACAAACCTGATGACTTGAACATGGTCACGGCATCTCTTTATCTCACCCACGACGTAACGCTAATATGTCTAGAGTTATACGGGTTCTTTTTGTCCCATCTCTCCCTCTTTGTTAACTTGCCTAAAATATCATAATTTAACTAGAAAATGTAATCAAAAATTTTAGGACCTGAGTAAATACGTTCTCAGGGCTCCATACATGCAATAAGCAAAGGCAGTGTTGGTGTTTGAACATGAAACACCTACACGTGACACGAATGCCAATCTAGTCTTGGCATTACTCAGCAAATACCTACACCCCATGCATATAGATCTCGCTGCAGCTACTCCTTATTCTCCTTTCATAGCCAATCTATCTTCATTTCCGCAGGCTGCCTCACTACCATTTTCCCACCTTGTGAATTAAGTAGATATGTCATAAAGTTATCTTTTAATGTCTAGGACCCAATAAAGGCTTGAATTCATTTCAATTAACGAACTGTCGTTCTTCAGTATATAATTACATGACACCTAAGTCCTCAGCCCTCGTATAAAGGATATCCTTGCTCTGTTTAGATTATTCATACAATTATACCATGACTCAAGGATTCTAATTTGCACATTTTCTTGGAGTAGATCAACTATCATAGTATAGCCCTACAGGTCACATACACAGGCCATTCGCTAGTGAATTGCCACGGTGATGACTCGCAGAAACCGCTAGCTATGAGACTCGCTTGTAATACCCCTTGAGTAGTGGACCTTTCAGACCATGGCACCAGACAGGTGCAGCCCAATGAAAACTGCTTTTATATCTCAACCTTGAATTTGATTACAATTCTCCTGCTTTCTACAAAAGCCCATCTTTGTTACTTCCTGGTTACGCTCATTGTCTCCCTTCTGATCACTCAACCCACAGAGAGTATCTAGTATACCAGTTATGGTATTTTTTTCTAAAAGTAGACATGGAATATCGATGCTTGTACAAGCTACAGTGCTTTTTTTCCGAATTTACACGCAAAAATTTCCTAACCACTAAATGGCAATGCGAGTCCTAGACGCTGCCACCTTCCATATTCGTGTGCATGATATATTTAATTTTCACTGATTCCATGCAATACTGTTATCTCAGTCGTAAATGTCTTCTGCCTGACCCCTTTCGTGGACAACAGTGCGGACTCGTTACAATGATAATCGATAATAAGATATTCGCCTTGTAACGATGTTTTCTTCGCGCCCGCACAACGATCTCATGGTAAATTTAGCAAACTCACGATATGTTAGAATTTGGAATGACTCGGGCTATCAAGTAGTCCACATTGTTGGTACACACGTGACTACAAATTCTGTAATTGGTTTCACGTTGGTAGTAACTTGAATCAATGCCCTCTACAACCTCAATGACTGAGAGGTTATTAATTCCTTCATACGATATACGATATTTCGTCGTCACCGTCGCCATTTTATCGTTATATCGAATTACTATCACATGACGTAACTACTGTCATATCCTGAACACACCCAACAAACAGTTATGTAAATACAACACGCTTAGCTTTCCATTTTACCATCGCATTGCATACTCACAACTATCATCTTGAATTAGGGTCCAATTTGATTCCAAATACTTAGCGGTGCAATGGCTTCTGTAAGCGCATCATCCTCATCGATGGCTGACAACCACAGCGCAACAATTCATCCAACTCTGATGGGTATTGCCGAGGCAATGAAAAAAGTAGAGCAACAAAGGAAAGAAAGACTCGATCTTGCCTGGGAATTCTTAGAAATTAATGACGCCTGGGCTAAAACCAAGGCAGGAACGGCGGTGACGGCCACAGTGACGCCTCTTATTGAAAGTATAGCTACACTAGTAATGTCGTTTGCTATTGGAACCACACAGGCAAATGAAAATCCGCCACAAGACCGACAAACCCTCGAAGAGCGCGATAACA